GGCTATTATTAATCGCAAAGTAACCTGGTAAAGCCAAACAAATTTGTTTCCATTGAAAGGATCTCTATCTGTGTCTGAGAATTTGTTCTGTACCAAACAAACCTCATTAACTGTGTCCATTTTTGACAAAGAACCAGGAGTTAGAGGGATTGGTGACCTTTCTTTGTCCTTAAAGTACAAATTTCAAGGCAGTTACATATGAATAAATGAGAATTTTTGCTAGGAAAAATAACAATCATATGTTACATTAAAAGTGAATATATTACTTGTTTTAATCTTTACTATTGTTATTATGAAAAAAATAAAAATTAACCAGAGAACTACCACTGTAAAGATAATTACTCAGAAATGCATGTATCTAATTTTATATTACTCTAAATGTAAGTACAGTAATTTTCTAAGCAATCATAAAAATAAAAAAATCTATAGGGAAGTTTGTGCTCTATAAATAATTTAATAAATATGAAAAGGTCTTATATAAGAAGAAAGGCCTAATATAATTGAAAACATATATGAACGGGTAAGGTACAAAGATGTACTTAGAACTTGGACACAAAATCAAAAGTGTAAGTTATTTTAAGTAGTGAAAACAGTCCATCTTCAGAATATGGAAATGTAAAATAAAAACAGTATGTATAGAGTGGCATGGCACAGCGAACTAAACCTGTGAGATAACGGAAAAGAATGTTACTTTCCAGCGTATAAAGAAAACATGTAGGAAACACTAAAAACGCGCATCTGCTGTAATCTCAAAACACAAAAGTAGTTAATTTAATAAATTCATCCATCCAATTATTGAAAAAAATCAATTCTTAGGTTCCAAATTGATTTCTTGTAACATTTGAGAGTGTGTGGATATACTGAACAAGGCAGTAATATTTTTGTCAAACATTCTTTGTTGAACAATGAAGTAGGAATTGCTAAATAAATTATTCTTGATATATAAATTTTTGTTTTATCAGCAGGGTGAAGATACTGCTCAGTGTGCAGGATGCAATAAAAATTAGGATCCCATTAAAAATAAAAGGATGGAAACCATTCTAACTAGGATTCCCTACAAAATTATAAAAATTACCTATATTTTTAATATGGAGGTTTTTAAAATGCAGTACTTCTAAGACATTTAAATCTATTGTTTTTCTGTTTTTACATTTCAGATGTATTTTCTCATTTCTATCCTGAAAGAAAAAAAGTCCTCTGATACATATGGTATAGCTTTTACTAATTACTCTATTTTGCAAATACAGAAACACATAAAGAGATTAAATGGCCTACTGTGATTAACAAATAAGTTAATGGCAGAAATGGAATTAGAACCTCTGTGTTTGCAGATTTTCTAACTCCAGACCAGGCTGTCATCTTCCTGACACAAGAAATATTATGCCGAATATATTTTTATTGAATTAGCCATGCATATTTTCTTTTATCTTATATTCCTGTCTTCTACCATATAAAGAAACTTGAATAAGTTCCAAGACTTTCTGCCTTGTTTTCATATCTATAAAACATTTTCTGATACAGTTTTAAAAAAAAGATAAAAATTACTGAAACTATTGAAAAGCTTTACATATTTGAATGTATTTTGCTAATGATATTTATAGGGATAATAAAGTATTTACATATTCTAATAATGATAGCAATAATAATAGCCACAATATAGTGGAGTGATTAAGAGCATAGACTCTGTTTTTGTTTTGTTTTGTTTTTTTGAGACGGAGTCTTGCTCTGTCACTCAGGCTGGAGTGCAGTGGCACAATCTCAGCTCACTGCAACCTCTGCCTCCTTGGTTCAAGTAATTCTCCTGCCTCAACCTCTGAAGTAGCTGGGATTACAGGCGCGTGCCACCACGCCAAGCTAATTTTTGCATTTTTCGTAGAGATGGTGTTTCGTCATGTTGGCCACTCCTGACCTCAGGCGATCCACCTGTCTTGGCTTCCCAAAGTGTTGGGATTACAGACCTGAGCCACTGCACCTGGCCAAGAGCATAGACTCTGAAATGGCACCTGGTTATAACAGCTCTGCTATGCTCCTTACTAGCTGTTTACCCTCTGAGCTGCAATTTCCTCATTTGTAAAATGTAAATATATTAGTATTAGTATCTTTTCCATTAAATTATTGTGAGAATGAGATAAGTTAATAAATGTAAAGTGCTCAAAATATTGGCTGGTACACAGTAAGGTGCTATGTAAGTGTTAGCTCTTTATTGAACATTTACTATGAGCCAAGTACCAGGCTACATGCTTTACCTACTCAACTGGATATGCTTTCTCTAATTCCCTTGGTTGTCTCCTCCTTTCTCTCTCCTGATGAGAGTGTATTTTATGAATGAAATCCCACAATGCAGAGCATAGAATATGGCTTCCTAAGAAGTATGGGTTATGGGGTAAACCCTGATAAGTGGAAAATAGGAGACAGAAAAGAACATGCAAATAAATTTCTCCTTTCCCTGTCCTCCACCTACTTATCTGAGGGATGGTTTCTCCTTGCAAAACTGAAGATAACCTGTGTGGCTAAAGACAGCAAGCACGGCCGGGTGCAGTGGCTCACACCTATAATACCAGCACTTTGGGAGG